CAGTCACAAAGACATATCTTTGGAAGTCCTGAAGATAGATAGATAGATAGATAGATAGATAGATAGATAGATAGATAGATAGATAGATAGATAGATAGATAGATTTATATACTCCCTTTTTGATAAAAACTACCAGCATTCAATCGTAAATGTTCTTAAAGATTTCAGAAGAATTGTCAAGATCATTTGACTATTCTGTCATAAATTTGATAGTACTGATTTCTCAAATGCAACTGCAAGCACAGCACATTCTAGTAATGTCTTATCTAATTAAGAATCTTGCCATTTTTTTCCTAGTCTGATCCATCAATCATGGGTGGAATGATTATCAGCATTGGAGATAAGTACATTGACATGTCTACGAAGACCAAAATTCAAAAACTGAGCAGGATCATGAGAGAAGTTGTTTAATGTCCATCCAATCATGAATTTTCATTAAAAACTAGTAAGGTCTATAATGAAAACAATAAAAATGTTTATCCTTAAAATAGTTGGTCGTATTTATAATACTTTAATATTAGATTTGATAGTTCTTCAGCATTGATGAATATATGTGTCTTTGTCTTGTTTAAGATACACCCTAGTGTAGCTGCTGTTTTAAAAAATAATTCTTTTTTCAAAAGCATGCTTCTGGAAACTACCAGTTGCAAAATTGAAAATGTGTTACTGGTGTTGCAATCTTATTCTGTCATCTGATGATGAAGAGCCTGCCCTCCCAAAGCATATTGCCTACACGTTTGGTTCATGTTTATAAACCTTATAGAGTGGAACCCTAACAGATTAATGGCTAGTGGTAATCTCTCTTTGGTTTTTGCTGTTTCCTATTATTACAAAACATGGACTAGTTGCTAGCTACTAATGGCAGGGATTGTTCCATTTATCTTGTATTGAAGGCCATGGTCTTCTGCAAGAATAATTCCACTGGATTTAAATTCAAGCAGATATTAAGAATAATTCCACTGGATTTAAATTCAAGCAGATATTAAATTAAATCCACTGGATTTAATTTCAAGCAGATATTAAGATTAAGTTCCAGTTGGCTCTTTGTGAATTCCTCTGTGGCCGTATGATACATGCAGTACTATATCTGTCAGAGGGATAACTAAAAGTCCAGCTGTAGAGCAAGGAGGAGGAACTCTTTGGGGATTCAGGATTGCATTTGATATTAAGTGATCTATCAGGATTACATTATAATAGATTTAAGGACAGAATCAAGAGGAATCAATCTCGTATTAAATGGCCCAAGAAGAGGATCTATCAGGATTACATTATAATAGATTTAAGGACAGAATCA